TTTAAAATATAATTGAAATTGATTTTACACACTTTAAGCAATATCGTATCGCATATCGAATATCGCATTTTTTTAACAAGGTATCGCATATCGCATTTTTTTTCAATATCGCACAACCCTACTCTCTAATATAAACCGGTATTCATTTCCATCTTTCTGCTGCTCTAACTGAAAAAGCTGATTGTCCAAAAACAGTTTTCTTATATTTAGTCGAACAATCACCTCTAACTGATGCCTAATTATTGTCCTTACAGAAAGTCACACCTTGTTTAAGAGTTGGTGGTGCAAGATCATGAAGTAGTTTATACATCAAACACACATCAGCAAAAAAAAAAATTGTCAAACGTCAATAATTTATCATTTTTAATAATATTGCAATATTCTTTGCTAAAGTTTTCACAGCTTGTTTATAAATAGTATATAATGGTTTTAACGTAGTTATACTTGTGTGGGACCAACTTGTAGCACAATAAGATAAATGAGAGAGAGTCATTGTATGCATAAAGAGCTTAGCAGCAGCCACAGGTAATAGGTGCCTAATATTCCTGAAGATCATCAAGCTCGCTCTAGCACTTTTAGAGATCTTTTTAATATGATTTTTAAAATTTAAATTAGAATCCATAATCATACCCAAATATTTAAAATGCTCAACAATATTTATTACTTCTCCTTTTGACTAAAATATCTGGACAACGTTAATCAACTCTCTTAATCAAAAAGTACATTCCCACAGTTTTTCTCACATTAAGAGTAAGGCAAGAGTGACGTAGCCAATCTGAGACTTTGATCAATGCAGCAGTAAGTTTGATAGCAGCTTGCTCTTTTGTCTTAGCATAAGTATAAACAACTGTATCATCTGCATACATCTGAACCTGGACCTCTGGACAAACTGTAGGCAGATCATTAATATATAAGCTGAACAAAATTGGTCCAAGAATCGACCCCTGTGGGACTCCAATATTACAGTCAAGAAATGGTGAGCATGCATCATTAATTCGTGTACATTGTTTTCTTAAATTTAAGTATGACTCCATCCATGTTAATGTATTAGTAGAAAAATTAAACCTTGATAATTTAGATAAAAGAACATTATGATTAACGGTATCAAAAGCCTTTTTAAAATCAAGGAAGACAGCACCAACAACACCTCCCCTATCAAGACTGGATTTAATTTGTTCAACAAAATAACAGTTTGCTGTCTCCGTAGAGTGATGTACCCTAAATCCAAACTGCATACGATGTAATGGAAAATGACCAAGATTTAAATGCTCTACTAACTGATTACAAACAACCTTTTCAATTACTTTAGAAACAACTGGTAGAATACTGATAGGTCTATAGTTAATTACATTAGCAGGATCACCAGTCTTAAATATAGGTGCTATTACTGCTGACTTCCAGGCACTTGGAAAATGACATTGTTTTATTGACAAATTAACCA